GAGCGCAGCCACGCCTGGCACTGCACAAACCCTCCCCCCGACCCAGAGCGCGGCCGCGCCGGGCACTGCACAAACCCTCCCCCCGACCCAGAGCGCGGCCGCGCCGGGCGCTGCACGGGCCCTGTCCCAGGCTGCTCCCAACTCAGTCCCCGTCTCCTTTCCCTGCAGATCGTCATCGTGCAGTTCGGGGGGAAGCCGTTCAGCTGCTCGCCCCTCAACGCCGAGCAGTGGCTCTGGTGCCTCTTCGTGGGCGTCGGCGAGCTCCTGTGGGGACAGGTGAGCAGCCCGACCTGCCTCCCTAGTGCCCTGCTCCTCTCCCCTCCCACAGCCGGGAGAGAACCCAGGAGTCCTGGCTCCCAGCCCCCCCTGCTCTCACCACCAGCCCCCACTCCCCTCCCAGAGCTGGCGAGGGAACCCAGGCGTCCGGGTTCATACATCAAGGCACCGACCCATTTCTCCGTCCAGTGACTCCCCAGCAGTGGAACTGAGACTCAGGGCGCTCACCATGTTTGGAGTCGTAGACGTTGGCCAGAGTTGGATGGACAGAGCGGGCGGGGGCGGGCTGGAAGCCAGGACTCCTGGGTTTTCTCCCCAGCTCCAGGGTGGTGATTGGTGGGGGGGGGTCAGGGTCCTGTGTGTGCCTGGGGGTGGGTTTAACCCCTTCTCTGACTCCCCTGCAGGTGATCGCCACCATCCCCACCAGCCACCTGAAATGCCTGAAGGAGGCGGGGCACGGTCCCGGCAAGGACGAGATCACAGATGAGGAGATGGCGGAGGACGAGGAGGAGATAGACCACGCCGAGCGGGAGCTGCGCCGAGGCCAGATCCTCTGGTTCCGTGGCCTCAACCGCATCCAGACCCAGGTAGGGCCCAGGGTATCCCACTGCCCCCACCAATGCATTAATCCGCTTCCACGCCCCTTCACGCTCATGCCTGGGATGGGGAATGTGGGATTCCACTTCCCCCACCAACGTGTCAACAAGCTCACCCCCTCCCTTTCCCACCTTCCCCTTCCCCACTCCCCTTTTTGCTTTTGTGCCTAGAGATGACGGGAGGAGAGAGATGGCCCGGAATCTCCTAACCCCGAGCAGGGGATCCGGTGGCCACTTGGCTCATGGCCCTGTTGTTTCCACCTTCAATTCCCACTCAAACCAATAGGAGACCCAGATGTCCTGAGTCTGATCTGGGGCGCCAGGCAGGAAACTGGGCTAGATGGGCACCCATGGTATTATCCATTGGCGGGTGGGAAGACATCTCCTAAGCCACTCAGGACACCAGAATGGGGTGTTTCTTGTCACCCAGTTTGTAACCTGCCCCCTCTAACTTGCAGACCCTGGGCATCGGTGTTTGCACCCTGGTGAGATGAATGGGGCAGCTCCCCCCTTCTCAGAGTGATTGGGTCAGGCTCTCTGCAAACTCAGGCATGGCTGGTGAGGAGCCAGGACCCCAGGGTTTTTTGCTGTCATTTGCCCCTCCCTCTGCCCAGAGAGTTTTTCTCCAACCATCATTTACGTGTAGTCCCATAGTGCCCCCTAGCTGGGCTCTGCACAGACCTTATACACTAGGGGATGGATTTCAGCCCTGGCTCTGTAGCCGAATGAGCCCCAGATGGGAGATGTGACTTCCCCTGCCCCCAATCTTAACTCTTCCCTCTGCATGGCCCCCTCCTGAGCCCACTGCGCTCCATCATGCACCTCTGACCCCAGGGTGTGGGGGCGCACTTCAGGACGGGGAGTGGGCAGAGTTAAGGTTATTTTGGGAAATGTCTCCATCGTCCAACCACAGGACGTGGGAGAGGGAGCCAGACTGACTGTGGCTGGCTATAAGGTGCCAGTTCTTAAGGGGGCGACAGCCCAATTCACCCTGGGGCCATCCCTGGGCATCCTTGTTTGGGTGCTGGGAGGAATTCCCCAGGCAGGATGTGATTGGAGAAAGCTGAGGCATATCGGCGACCGGACCTGGTAGACGATTCCTCCAGCGTTTTCTACAAAACAAGAATTTCGTTTGGGAGGGGGAACCCTAAGGTTTTCAGCTGGAAAAATTCAAATTGTTTGGTTGCTGGGGAAAAGAATAGTTTTGGCCTGAAAAATGTTCAGATTTTGGGCCCAAAATACTCAGTGCTGGAGTGTAACAAGGCAGTTTTCAGCCAGGGTTACACCATTTTGGGACCACAAATATGTGGGTTTGGTCAGATACAATCTGGTTCGGGCAAATTTTGGGATGACAATAATTGGTTTTCAGACCCAAAAATGCAGTTTTCGGTCAAAAACATTGGTTTGGCCATTTTTGGTCAAAAATATCCAGTTTTCAGAAGTTTTCAATTCTCTCTCTGAGGGGAGGAGATGAAAATAATTGTTTTTTTTTCATCCAAAATACAGTTTTTGGCCAAAAAATACACAGTTTGGGGTAATTTTCAGCCCAAAATACTCCACTTTTGACCGTTTATGGCCAAAATTATCCTGTTTTCAGTCCTCAAACTGAACGTGTTTTGAAGTAGGGGCTGAGCATTTTAATTTTTCTGCCAATCCCCCTTTTTTTAAAAAATAGAAGTTGAAATTTTCCTAGGAAAATGTTGTGGAAAATGGGGGAAAAACTTGAATGGGATTTTTCTGCGGCGAGGGAAATCCCCATCTCCCGTTCTGGGCCCAGCTCTGGGTGTCGGGGTCCGGGGCAGGAGCTCGGCCGGTGTAGGGTCTGAACCAACCTCCAAAAATCCTGGGGTCAGAAGATGTTTCTCCAAAGGGCTGGACGGGGGCGTCCTGAAGCAGCGAGGCAGGACGCCGCGTAGATGGGCCCCTTTTCAGAGGACCTGGGTTACTAACCTGCCTTCTGATTGCAGCCGGCATCTCTCGGAGGCGCCGTAAAGGGACGTGGCGACTTGTAACCTATTTCCTTCCCTTTGTTAACGTGAGGGACAGAGCCTGGCTTATGGTGCTTGGACAGAGAGCTGCTCGTCTGTGCATCCCTGCACCCACCCAGCCCCCCTGCTCTGACTGCGAGGCCCCACTCCCCTCCCTGAGCCGGGAGAGAACCCAGGAGTCCTGGCTCCCAGTGCCCCCTGTTCTAGCCACCAGAAGTGGATAAAACAGGGAGAAATCTGGATGCCCCCCCATGCAGTTCTCCCCTGCCAGCCGGCAACCCTTTCTGACCCTATGCCGGCAGCCACACGGCGCCCCCCCCTCACCACGGGCAGGCGCCCGGCCCTGAGGCTGAGGGGGAGTGGATCCCAGCCCTCCCCGGGGAGCAGAAACGGGGCACCCCGCGAGCCAGCAACCGCAGGTCGAACCAGACTCATTCAGGCTGGCACGAGGCGGCCGATGTTTAACGCCAAGGGGAATTAGCTCCCGGGACAGTTTCCACCGGGGTCGTGGTGGATTCTCCTTCACGGGTGCAGTGTGAATCATGACGGGACGTTTCTCTACCAAGCCTGCTCCGTGGCCGGGTCAGACGGATGGTCCCACGGTCCCTTAGCCAGCAGGATGCCCCGCACAAGCCAGCCGCCGTCAATGGAGCGAGGCCGATTTCCACCCGCACCCCCCCCATCGCCCTCCCCATTTACCCAGCCTCCTCGGCTCCAGCCATAGCTTGGGGGAGGGGGAACACCCCCCCAAAAAAATCATAAGCGTGGCTTGAAAACGGGGCCGCTTCTTCTGCAGCCCCTTCCCAACCCACTGGTGGGCGCCCCGTTCCCACGCGTTTCTCAACCTCCACGAGATGATTCGAGACGGGTTTGTTGTTTTAACCCCAAGCCGAGATTCCCCCCGACCCCAGCAGCCGATGTGGGCTTTTTTTTTAAAGCCCCCCCCATCTCCCACCGATCTCTGCAGCCGCCGCCTCCCCTGTCTCCCCCGATGCTCAGTGCCAACCGCGGACGACGTCTCTGTGTATCTCATTTTCTCTCTCGTAGATGGAAGTAGTTAGCACCTTCAAGAGAAGCGGCTCCTTTCAGGGGGCCGTGCGGCGCCGCTCCTCGGTCCTCAGCCAGCTGCACGAAGTAACCAATCTTTCTACCCCTACTCACGTAATTCTCTCCGCTGGCAATCCCACTTCTGCCACCATCGGGAGTGAGTGACCGTTTTGCTCTTACTGCTTGTGTGCTTTTGAACAACAAAAAAAGACAGATTTAACGTTTCCCCCTCCTCCCCGCCTCCTATGGCCCCCCCTCTGCCCCGGCCCCCCCATGCTCACTGTTGGTCTCCTATCTATTTTTTTCAGTTCTCTCTCTGCTCTCTGTCCGACCTCAGGCGAGCCGGATTTCCATTTCCTAAAGCCATACGGTCGCTTTCTCTCTTTTCCCTTTAGCCGGTTGATTCAAGACCCCCGCCCTGCCCCACGCCCCTTTATTGGCTCCCTCTTCTGTCCTTCTGGGGTGGCTTCCCCAGCTGAAATGGAGCGGGTGACGCCAGTCTGCGCCCCCGTCCAGCTGGGGATCTGGCCCCATTCACAGTCGGTGTTTGGGTCCGTGTTTCTGTGCGTGCCCATTTGGGAGTGCTGCCCTGGCCCCTTGGGGACCCCCAAACAGGCCAGATTCTACTGCTGAACACACCCATGAATGAAGAGGAATCAGATTCGGATTTGGTGTGAATCTGGAGTGACTCCCTTCACGTGAGCCAAGTTTATTCATGGGCTACTGGGGCATGGGTGGGTTAGAGAAACCAGATCAGGAATTTCTGTTTCCCAGAGGGCTAGGTTAGCCAGGGTGCGCACTCAGACGGGGGTGGTCTCTATTCCTCTCCTCTGAGACGGGGGCAGGCGGGATACCAGGCTAGATGGGCCTGCGTAGGCCACTCAGCCCCCCTCTCCCCCAGCCTCCCTCAAAATCTGGGGCGCTCCCTCCCCCGATAAACTTCCTTTCTCCTCCTCTAAGAAGCGCATGGCGACAAACCCAGGCTGGCGAGTTAAGCGGGGCCTGTCGCTCCCTTCCCTCGGGGTGGAACCCCGGCGTCCTGGGTGGCAAAAATACCTTCAAGCCTAGTAAAGGGGGCTGTGGGGTCTGCTCCGGCTGGGTAGGGATGGACTCTCGGTGCCTTCTTCTCGTGTGGTTCGGTGTCGTCCTTCTGCTTCTGGCGCCCCCGTTCCCCGCAGGGTAAGCCTTCGAGTATGAGCCCGGCCCACTTTTTGCTGTCGATTCTTTTTTTCCGATCTGTGTCTCTAGCTGCTTTTTTCTCTCCACACAGCTCTGTGTCTCGTTCGCCTCTGCCCCCCCCCCCCGCCCCTTCCTGGCGCATCCCTCCGACCGGCCCCCCTCCCTCCCCCCGTCGGCGGCCAGCGGGGTCGTGACAAAGCCTGTATTTCTTTTAGGAACCGATCAGCGGCCGGGCGGCCTGGCAGGGTCATTTCAGGAACGATTGGAAAACGAATCTGAACCTTTCCCCCACCCCGGCCCCTCCAGAATATAAGAGGGGGGTGGGGATCGGGGCGGGAACCTGCCTGTAATTTCCCCCATCCCAGGCCAAGCAGGGCTAGGCTGAAAGCAAGGTAAATTTCAGATCCGGACCTTCGTAAATTACACAGTGGGGTCAAGCCGGGTGGGGACTGAGGGTGGCCAAGGTCGTGGGGTTCCGACCGGGAGCTCTCCCAGGTGCACGTGCAGCGCCTAGCACAACGGGGTCCCTGTCGCACCAGGAGCGGCACCGACCCCTCGTGCTCAGGGCACTGCACGGCCCCCGCCCTCGAGAGCTCACCCTCTGAACAGACAAGGGCAGGGCCATTGGCTCCACTTCCCAGACCGGGAGACTCCATATCTGGGGGGGGGAGCTGCCAGCTTAGGGTGTGCAACCGCCCACAATCCCACGCAAATACACATCCCTGCGCTTGCCTGTTCCCAGGCCCCGCTTGGCAGCGAGCTGCCCCCCCCTCCTCCGGGATGCCCCCCCCCTTTCAAAACCATCACCAGCCGCAGCCTGAAATGAACCCCCAACGCTCCCCCCCATCCCCGCCCCCCCACTATCCTTCCACCTCAACCCCTGTTTTTCCCCCGCTTTCCAGCTGCCACGAGGAGCCGGGATGGAGCCACTTGTCTGGTCGCCAGGAGTCTGGTGTTTTCGAGTGTTTGCGGGGGGGGGGGGGAGCTGTCTGTCAATCACACCTTTCATCCCTCCCCCCCCTGACCACCCCCATCCCATCCTTGACTTTGCTTTCTGCTCACTGCCAGGGGTCTAGAGATTCCCCCCCCCAATCTGACACCGTAGTGATGGGGGGCTCATGGGAAGAGGCCCTTAGCCGCCCTCCCCCACATTCCAGTCTTGGGGGCTGCAGCTGCAGAGCCCCCCGACTGAGACCCTCCCCCGAGATCGGGGACCTCTGTCACACTGGACACTGTAGAGACACCCCTGATCCTGACCAGCTCGGGGGGCCCTGTCACACGGGGTGCTGTGTGCACACAGGCCCTGCCCCGAAGAGCTCACGGGGTGAATAGACGGAGGGGGAAACTGAGGCAATGTGCCCCAGCAGCCAGGCCAAGCTGGGAGTAGAACCCAGGAGTCCTCAGCCTCGAACTTCCCAAACCGGCCTGTGAGCCACTGTCACCCCATGCAGCCTGCCCCGCCCCCCCCCCCCGCACTGCCCCAAGCCGGCGGGGGGGGGCATCTTTTTGCTCCACCTAGTGGACAGTTGTGGAGAGTCCTGCCTCATTGCCCACGTCCACCCCATCTTTGCACCCCTTTTCTCCCGCTCCGCCTCTTTCCTCCGCCCCATTTTGCTTCTGCAGGGACCCAATCCTGACACACACACCCCAGCCAGAACGGGAGGGGGGGGTACTGGGCTCTATTTGCTGTCCCAGCCTCTTTATCTCCCCCCCCCCGGCATCGCTTCATTCGCTGCCCCTGGGGTGGGGTGCATGGCATGGACGGGCACACAGAGCCGCTGGCATGAGGCCCCCTGCTCCCCGTTACGATCCAGCAAGGATGGGCATGAATACTCGAACGTTTACCGCACTCTCGCATGCCGCCTGTCTGTCTGTCCTCAGGCCTTTCCCTCTCGCTCTGCCCACCCAGGGACGCCCCGGTCTGCCCGGCGTCGCCCCCCCAGCTCGGCTTGGGCATGGTTCGGCGAGGGGGCAGTGCTGGCTAGATGACAATCCTCCCAAAGAAATCGCCGGCTTACGTGAGGGAGGGGCTGGGTACAGCACAGACCCCGACTGGGTGCAGGACCCCTGCCCCAAAGGGCTCAGAGAGAGGATGGGTCACCCCCCCCCCCATTAAACAGAGGGAGGTTGAGAGTGAAGAATGGGACAGAGGCGGGGATGGAACCCAGGAGTCCGAGCCCCTCCCCGCTGCACACACACTCGAATCCCCAGTGTCCTCCCAGAGCCGGGAGAGAACCCAGGAGTCCTGGCTCCCAGCCCCCCCTGCTCTAACCACCAGCTCCCCCTACCCTCCCAGAGCCGGGGAAAAAACCCAGGAGTCCTGACTCGCAGCCCCCCCTGCTCTAACCACCAGCCCCCACTCCCCTCCCAGAGCCAGGGAAAAAACCCAGGAGTCCTGGCTCCCAGCCCCCCCGCTCTAACCACCAGACCCCACTCCCCTCCCAGAGCCAGGGAAAAAACCCAGGAGTCCTGTCTCCCAGCCCCCCTGCTCTAATCCACCAGCCCCTACTCCACTCCCAGCCCCACCCCAGCACCCCGACACACACACTGGACCCTGGCTCCCAATCCTTGAGTGCACCCCACTTTCCCGGGGGGGGGGAGCGCCTCACTGACCCCTCCCCTTGCTTAGTTTTCAAACGTGCTGCACTGCCCCCAGTGGGGCTATTGGGGGGGTCAGTGACACGTACCCCCTGCTCCATTGCAATCCGCTGGGGCTGGGGCCGGCTGGACTTGTGGGTGGCTTCCTTCCCGCTCTAGCATGCGCTATGTCCCCGGGGGGGCTCCCGGGGGCCGGGAGCTGGCCCTGCCCACAATGCACTGCACAGACCCACCCCAGGGCTTGAGTCCTGCTGCCCTGTGCCCTGATCCAGCGCCGCCCCCCCCCCCGTCCTGAGTTGGGCTCGGCCCCAAACAAGTGCAGGGCTCCCCCCCCCCATGCCCAGCGTGTGCCCCCCCGCCTCCCCTGGGTGTGACAGCTCCCAAAGGGGGCAACCCCTGCCCCACACGAGGCAGGCGTGAGAGTTGTAAAGTGGCTTCTCCATAGGAAGGTGCTTTACCCCCTCCGGCCCCCTAGAGCGACGGCCCATTGACCCCTTTATGGCGTCCTCAGAAGGCTGCAGGGGGTTAAATGCCTGTTGAAGGAGCCCAGCAAAGGGTGGGGTGGCCGTTGGGAACCCAGGCGTCCGAGAATCTTGAACCCAGAAAACAGGCTCTTCCACTTTTCTGTTGCTGAGTTTTCTTTGTGTTCAATTGATGCTCATTCCACCACCCCCCATCCCCTCCACTGCAGCGTCCGGCCCGTGGGCGCTATCGCCGGTTCAGCGCTCTCCTGTTCTCTGGGGGGGCATGGCAAGTCCTGCCAGGAGCAGAGCCAGGGACTGGTCATCACAGGGACTACGGGGCGGGAAAAGGGACTAGGGCCTGACCCAGGGAGCTGGAAGGGTGGCCTTGTTGGGGGAGGGTGGGCAGGGCGGGGCAGGGTGGGTGTGGATAGATAGGGGATAGGATAGATAGATCCGTGGGTGGGGGTAGGATAGATACAGAGAGGGTTGATAGGTGGGGGTAGGATAGATAGAGAGACAGGGGCGTCTATGGGATGGATGGATGGATGGATGGATGTGGGGGTAGGACAGATAGCCGGGGGGATGGATGGGGGTAGGATAGATACAGAGACGAGGGCATCTATGGGATGGATGGATGGATGGATGTGTGGGTAGGACAGATAGCCGGGGGGATGGATGGGGGTAGGATAGATACAGAGACGAGGGCATCTATGGGATGGATGGATGGATGGATGTGTGGGTAGGACAGATAGCCGGGGGGATGGATGGGGGTAGGATAGATACAGAGACGAGGGCATCTA